TTGCATTGGGTCTTCGTTGCTGTACGTGGTCTTTCTCTAGTTGCGGCAAGCGGGGGTTATTCTTCGTTGTGTTGTGCGGGCTTCTCATTGCGGTGGCTTCTCTTGTTGCGGAGCATGGGCTCTAGGCGTGCGGGCTTCAGTAGTTGTGGCACGCAGGCTCTAGAGCGCAGGCTCAGTAGTTGCTCTGCAGCATGTGGGATCTTCCCGGACCAGGGCCCAAACCCGTGTCCCCTGCATTGGCAGACAGATTCTTAACCACTGAGCCACCAGGGAAACCCCCTCCTTTCTTCTTTATGTCATAATTTCCTCACCTAAGAGACTAGAGGACTCTCAGTTTCTCCGGTTGTCATGAGGGTTAAATGAGAAAATGCCTGTAAAGCTCTCAGCACATTTCTTGACGCGGTGCGAGTATGTATGGTGGTTAATTTTATATGTCAACTTGGCTTGGCTACTGTGCTGAGCTCTTTGGTCAAACACCATTCTGGAGGTTGCTGTGAGGTACTTTTTAGATATGACTGACACTGGAATCATCAAACTTTGAGAAAGGCAGGTTACCCTTCTTAATGTGGGTGGGCCTCATCCGATCAATCAATGTCCTTGGGACTTCCCTGGTGGCGCAGGGGTTAAGAATCCACCTGCCAATTCAGGGAATACAGGTTCGAGCCCTGGTCTGGGAGGATACCACAAGCTGCGGTGCAACTAAGCCTGTGCGCCACAACTACTGAGCCTGGGTTCTAGAGCCCGTGAGCCACAACTACTGAGCCCACGTGCTGCAACTACTGAAGCCCGTGCACCTAGAGCCTGTGCTCCACAACAAGAGAAGCCACCACAATGAGAAGCCCATGCACTGCAATGAAGAGTAGCCCCTGCTCACCGCAACTAGAGAAAGCCCACATGGAGCAACGAAGACCAAACGCAGCCAGAAAAGTAAATAAATAAATAAACTTAAAAAAAAGAAAAATCAATGTCCTTAAGGGAAAAGGCTGAGATGCCCTGGGAGGGAAGGGATTCTGCCTCCAGACTCAGGACTGCAAGCATCTACTCTTCCAGCTTACTGGACTGCCCTGAAGATTTTGAAATCACTTAACCCTCACAATCACATGAAGCCTAATCAGTAGAATAAAACTCTGATTTATCTCCTTTTGGCTCTGATTCTCTGAAGAAGTCTAATGTTATTATTCTCATTGTTGTACTGGGCAATTAGGATGACAGCAATGCCATTAGCAAGAACAAGCCATCTTATTCTACAGGCCAAAGAGAGTGGCCTCAGTAGAAACCAACCCTATGGACACCCAGCACCTAGAACTAAGACAATAAATTTCTGTTGTTTGAGGCACGCCCCCTCACCCAAAAGGAAAAGAAAAATAAAACCTATCCACGGTGATAGAGTGTAAACAGTGGGTAACACTGTAGGACAAGCTATTGACAAGGATGAAGCACCAGGAACCTGTCACAGAACTGGAAATAGTCTAAATTTTGGGTGAGGTGGAGGATACCTCAGTTTATACATATGTGAAAAGTAAAGATGATTTCCCACTCTTGGGCATATATCCAGACAAAACTCTAATTCGAAAAGCTATATGCACCCCAATGTTCACAGCAGCACTATTTACAATAGCCAAGACATGGAAATACCCTAAATGTCCATTGACAGAGGAATGGATAAAGAAGATGTGGTACCTACATACAATGGAATATTACTCAGCCATGAAAAAGAATGAAATAATGCCATTTGCAGCAACATGGATGGATCTAGAGATTGTCATGCTAAGCAAAGTAACTCAGAGAAAGACAAATACCATATGATATCACTTATATGTGGAATCTAAAAAAAAATGACACAATGACACAAATGAACTTACCTACAAAACAGAAACAGACTCACAGGTATAGAGAGCAGACTTGTGGCTGCCAAGGGGGTTGGTGGAGAGAGATGGATTGGGAGTTTGGGATTAGCAGATGCAAACAATTACATATAGGATGGATAAACAAGGTCCCATTTTATAGCACAGGGAACTATATTCAATATCCTGTGATAAACCATAATGGAAAAGGATGTATACATATGTATAACTGAATCACTTTGCTGTACAGCAGAAATTAACACAACATTCTAAATCAACTATACGGCAATAAAAATTTTTTAAAACTTGAAAAAAGAAAAAGTGAAGCTGAACCTGAAGGATTGATATGTATCACTGTATACTTCCGATATAAAAAAATTAAGCAGATTTTAAAAACAAAAGGTATGGAAGTCAAATATATAGAGTCAATCCTTGAATAACACGGGTCTAAAACCCATAGGTCCACTTATACACGATTTCAGCCCTTTGTATCTGTGAGTTCTGCATCCATGAAATCAAACGACCATGGATCAAAATACTACATAATCTGCAGTTGACTGAATCTGAAGATATGGAACTGTGCATATGGAGGGGGATGGCCCACCATAAGGGACCTTAGCATCCACAGATGTTGGTATCTGCGGGAGCACTGGAGCCCATCCCCCACGTACACCACAGGACAACTGTCCATCATTTCCAAAATGAGACAACTCTTTCAAGAGTTGTGAGCTTCCCTGGTGGCGCAGTGGTTAAGAATCCGCCTGCCAATGCAGGGGACACGGGTTCGATCCGTGGTCTGGGAAGATCCCACATGCTGCGGAGCAACTAGCCCCATGTGCCACAACTACTGAGCCTGTGCTCTAGAGCCCATGAGCCGCAACTACTGAGCCTGCGTGCCCCAACTACTGAATCCCATGAGCCTAGAACCTGTGCTCCACGAGAGAAGCCACCGCAATGAGAAGCCCATGCACTGCAACGAAGAGTAGCCCCCGCTTGCCACAACTAGAAAAAGCTCACGTGCAGCAATGAAGACCCAACAGATCCAAAAATAAATAAATAAAATAAATAAATTTATTTAAAAAAAAAAAAAAAGATGACGAGAGGGACTTCCCTGGTGGCGCAGTGGTTAAGAATCCGCCTGCCAAAGCAGGGGACATGGGTTCGATCCCTGGTCACGGAAAATCCCACATGCCGCCGAGCAAGTAAGCCCGTGTGCCACAACTACTGAGTCTGCACTCTAGAGCCCACAAGCCCACGTGCTGCAACTACTGAAGATCGTGCACCTAGAGCCCGTACTCCGCCACCGCAAATGAGAAGTCCACACACTGCAACTAAGAGTAGCCCCCGCTCGCTGCAACTAGAGAAAGCCTGCACGCAGCAATGAACACCCAATGCAGCCAAAAATAAATAAAATAAAATAAATAAATTTATATATATAAAAAAAGATGACAAGAGCTTGAACTAGGGTGCTGGTGATGGACTCAGGACACACGGATAATCTCAAACGGGCAGGCCTGGGGATGGACGGATGTTGGTTTGATGGAGAGAGAGGCTGGCTGAGGTGTTGCTAATCTTCTAATCAGCTTAGATGGCAGGACGTTCTCAGAACCAGGCACGGGGTAGGAGTGGGCAGGATCCCGGGGGTCTTCTAAGGCATGACAAGCTTGAGGGGTCTCTGAGACACGAAAGTGGAGATCTGGGAATAAGGAAATGGGGGGCGGGGTGGCGTGTGGAACAGAGCATCGGTAGTGGGGTTGGCCAAAGACACTTACAGGCGGGCTGAGAAGCCTGAAGGACCGACAGAGAGGAGAGACCGTGACTCACTGTGGATTATTCAAGCTACAGTCAGCAGCAGAGATGTGGGGCTGAAAACCCCAAACATCCGCTTGGTGTTCTTAAGGGCAAGAGGGGCAAGAAGGTACAGTGCAAGGGGCTGCTTCTGAGTGTCTTGTGGACAAACAGGAGGATGGATAAATGGATGGAGAAGGTGGGAAAGAGTTCCATAGAGAGTATAGCATAGATCATAACTTCAAGGGGAAGAAAGGTCCCTCTTCCTCTGAGTCTAGAAGTCCAGGAAAAATGTGTGATACCACCATTCACTCTGATTAATACAATTACATGGATACGGTAAGAACTGACCTTAGTCGACCCTCTGTGTAGACCAGGCACTGTACTAAGCAGTTTTCTGCATTATCTCATTACACCTTCAGACAACCCACTCACACACACACTAGCCTCACTCTGACTTCCTGAGAGCAGGGTGACTAGAGTAGACAGAGGTCATACAAACCAAGCCCACTGGCTCTTCTCCTTCGGCCCAGAGCAAAACCACACTCTCCAGTCCTGAGCATCCAGCTGCGGCCAAATGCCTAGTCCTTGCCTGTGGGATACAGGGGAGTAAAGTATGTGTGCATCTGGGTGTGACCTGGCTTGTATCCCTTGCTGTTTCCCCTCCACCAGCTGGATTATGCTGGACCAACCTTAGAGCTATACGTTGACATCAGAAGGTGTCTGGAACTCTAGATGCAACTAGAGATTATCATACTAAGTGAAGTAAGTCAGGAAGAGAAAGACAAATACCATATGATGTCACTTATATGTGGAATCTAAAATATGACACAAATGAACCTACTTATGAAAGAGAAACAGACTCACAGACATAGAGAACAGACTTGCGTTTGTCAAGGAGGAGGGTGGGTGGGGAGGGAAGGAGTGGGAGTTTTGGATTAGCAGATGCAAACTATTATATATAAGGTGAATAAACAACAAGGTCCTACTGTATAGCACAGGGAACTATATTCAATATCCTGTTATAAACCATAATGGAAAAGGATATAAAAAAGGAATTATATATGTGTATAACTGAGTCATTTTGCTGTATGGCAGAAATTAGCACGACAGTGTAAGTCAACTGTACTTCAATAAAAAAAAAAAGACAAAATAAAAATTTAAAAAAAAAGAAAGAAGAAGAAGGTGACTGGGTCTCTAAATAATGGTGTGGTCCCAAGCTGGCCAGCTGATGCACACTATACTTTGATGTGAGAGAAACCACCAGACCCCACAAAGGGGGTTTCACATAGCAGCTCAGAGGCACTGGTCCCCATGCATTCTCAAGGTTGCTGTGAACCCACCTGCCCAGCAGCTATTGGCTCCTACCTGGGCACATGCTACGTGGGAGGCCTCTCCTTCCCATCCACAGCTCCTGCCCATGTTCCAGCAAGTGGATCAACTCTGGTTTGGGAACTGGATGCCCTGTGGATGGAGAAAAAAACAGGACGCGGGTGTTTTGATGAGAAGAATGAAACCCTTCCATCCTATCTGGGACTTCATGACAGGAAAAAGACCATGAATGTAGCGGCTCCCAAAGTAAAGAAAATGTTGATCTGTGACTGGGAATCCAACGGCACAAACACCACTCCTGAGCTGCAACTGCTATAGAGGGTGGTGCTGTCTGTCTACACAGCACCACTTCCCTTAAACTTCATCAGTGGAAGTCAGCCCCATGCAGGGTCATGCCACTTTCACACACAGCCACGGGACCCTGGGAATACTCCAATAAAAAACAAAAAAACCCCACAACGCTGAAGTCAAAATAATGGCATTAAGGTCCTAGCAAGTTCACGTAGAAGGCTCAGGGCTGTGAGCTAGAGGCTGGTCCCTCTGTTGAACAGAAAAATTAGCCACAAAGGGGGCCATGGAATACTCACTCACACTGATCTGAGACTTTCTCTTGACAACAATCAGCGTGCCAGACAGAGAAGGTAAAAGGACTGGCTTTTGCAGGGTGTCCACCTGTGGCATTCCATGACATTCCTGTGCACCTTCTAAAATGATCTCCTGCCCAGGGGAGGATCACGGCCCAGGCCTCAGAAAGCATGTGATGATGACGTAGACACGAGGGGCCTTTGAACAAAATTGTGCTGTTTAGGAAGATCCCTGGATGGCACTGATGACAAATGCCATGTAGGGGTCTCCCTCACTCACCCACTCGTCTGAGAACAGCCCTGCTAACTGGGCTGTGGGGACACCTGACATCACCAGGCTGGGTCAGTCAGCTTCCCTCCTGTGGAATCTGCAACAAGGACCTCAAACTGAGGCCCGAGGGTGCTGGGCACTGGGATGGGGCTGGTGTTCATAAGGACATTGTTTCTATCCCACCGATCACTGCTACAGACACAGGGAGACCAGGCAGGAGGAGAAGCGACCAGAAAAATGCAGGGCCTGTGGGGAGGAGGAAAGGTGACTCCTGTGACCTTGATCAGCCCGGAAACAAGGCGGGTGGGGTCCCCCACATGTGTGAGAGCTAAGCACTTACCCAGTGAGACCAGGAGCCCACAGATCTCCAGCATCACCTCTTGGTACAGGGTCCTCTGATCCAGGTCAAGTTGTCTCCACTCCTCCTGGGTAAAGGTCACGGCCACATCCTTGAAGGTCACCAACACCTGGACAGTCAAACAGGTAGTGGTGTTGGGCTTTTGCACTTGGATAGGATCAACCCTGTCACTCTGTTGCCGGTGAAGATGCAGAGAGACCCAGGCCTGAACCACTGAGGCCTGCTGATCGCCGAGTTCTGTGTTGGGCTCAAGGGGGAGGTGGAAGCAGTCTCTGGATATAACGCAACTGTGGCTGAGAGAAAAGCCTCCCATGAAGGAAGCCACTAGAGATGACACAGATAATGGTGTTCCATGAGGACTGGGGGCAGATGGTACGTGCTCTGGGAAAAATGTTCACGATGATAATTCCAACAATGGTAACAGCAAAGTGACAGGTTCTGAGCCTCCCTGGTCCTCACGGTGCACCTGCCCCAGGCTGCGATCTTCACACGCTGCGGTAAAGTGACTAAAGATCCCTCGCTCTGGAGCCAGATTTCTGGGGTTTGAATGAAGACTCTTAAATCTGACACTCGGGACTTCCCTGGTGGTGCACTGGTTAAGAATCTGCCTGCCAATGCAGGAGACACGGGTTCGAGCCCTGGTCAGGGAACATCCCACATGCCACGGAGCAACTAAGCCCGAGTGCCACAACTATGGAGCCTGTGCTCTAGAGCCCGTGAGCCACAATTACTGAGCCCGCCTGCCACAACTACTGAAGCCCATGTGCTCTAGGGCCCGTGCTCCGCAACAAAGAGAAGCCACCGCAGTGAGAAGCCCACGCACCGCAATGAAGAGTAGCTCCTGCTTGCCACAGCTAGAGAAAGCCCGTGCGCAGCAACAAAGACCCAACACAGCCAAAAATAAATAAATAAATTTATATATATAAAAAAATCTGACACTTGCTGGCAGTGTGATCATGGGGAGGACGACATCCCATCATTTCTCCAAGCATCAATTTCCACATCAATACAACAATCACTCCCACTATGCCAATTCTTAGAACTAAAGAGAAAATGTTCCCACACCAGATGCTGTGGAGTGCCTGGCCCAGTTAAGTGTTCAGTGTATTTTGTGACTTTCACTAATCCACAGCCCACAAGGTAAATGCCATCGTCACCACCATGTCACAGCCAGAGGCCTGATGCTCAGGCAGCTCTAGAAAATCAACCACAACCTCAAATTTAAGGAAAAGTGGGGGAATTCCCTGGTGGTTCAGTGGTTAGGACTCCACGCTTTCACTGCTGAGGCCCCAAGCTCAATAGTTGGTCAGGGAACTAAAATCCTACAAGCGATGTTGCGAGGCCAAAAAAAAAAAAAAAAAGGGTGGGGGCGGTGGCGAAGCAGTGCGGAGGTAGCAGCTGCACGAGGGGCTGCGGCGTCAGAGGTGAACCAGCAACCCAAACACCTGGGTTAACCACGTCTCGTCCACGACTCTCCTAGGTGAGAATTATGAAGATGATGACCTAGTAAACTCTGATGAGGTTATGAAGAAACCATTTCCAGTACAGATTGTTCTTGTACATGAAGATGACCATAATTTTGAGCTTGATGAAGAAGCTTTGGAGCAGATATTGCTACAGGAGCACATAAGAGATCTTCATATAGTAGTGGTATCCGTGGCAGGAGCTTTTCGTAAAGGGAAATCATTTCTATTGGACTTCATGCTTAGATGTATGTATAACAAGGATTCTCAAAGTTGGATTGGTGGAAACAATGAAGCACTGACTGGCTTTACATGGCGAGTTGGTTGCGAAAGAGAAACAACAGGCATATGTCTGGAATGAACAAAAGTGGCTGTGCTGCTAATGGATACCCAAGGTGCCTTTGATAGCCAGTCAACTATCAGAGATTGTGCAACAGTGTTTGCTCTGAGCACTATGACTGGCTCTCTCCAGGTATATAATTTGTCTCAAAATATTCAAGAAGATGATCTTCAACACTTGCAATTATTTACAGAATATGGCAGACTTGCAATGAAAGAAATCTACCAGAAACCATTTCAGACATTAATGTTTTTGATTCGAAACTGGAGTTATCCTTATGAACATTCATATCGTTTGGAAAGTGGAAAACAATTCCTTGAAAAGAGATTGCAGGTAAAACAAAATCAACCTGAAGAGCTACAGAATGTAAGGAAGCACATTCACCATTGTTTCTCAAATCTTGGTTGCTTCCTTTTGCCACATCCTAGTCTTAAAGTTGCAACTAATCCTAGTTTTTTTGTGGCCTCTCCCGTTGAGGAGCACGGGTTCCGGACGTGCAGACTCAGCGGCCACGGTTCACGGGCCTAGCCACTCCGCGGCGTGTGGGATCTTCCCGGACCGGGACACGAACCCAGGTCCCCTGCATCGGCAGGCGGACTCTCAACCACTGCACCAGCAGGGAAGCCCATCCTAGTTTTGATGGGAGATTGAAAATATTGATGAAGAGTTTAAACGAGAGCTTTGAAATCTGGTTCCAGTGCTACTTGCCCCAGAAAATTTGGTAGCAAAAGAGGTAAGAGACGAAAGTCATTTGTAGAGATCTTGTAGAATACTTTAAGGCTTATATTAAAATTTATGTAAAAAGTCCATGCTTCAGGCAACAGCTGAAGCTAATAATTTTGCTGCAGTAGCAGGAGCAAGAGAGAAAGTATGGAGCAGGTAGGCGGTGCGGACAAGCCTCACATTGCACCTTCAGATCTGGAAGTGAAAACACCTGGATCTCAAGGAAGTGGCGATTAAACAGTTTCGTTCAGTAAAAAAAAAATGGGTGGAGATGAATTCTACCGTCGTTATCAGGACCAGCTTGAGGCTGAAATAGAAGAAACCTAGGCAAATTTTATAAAGAAACCTATGCAAATTTTATAAAGCACAATGATGGCAAAAATATCTTCTATGCTGCTCATACGCCTGCCACACTGTTTGCAGTCATGTTTGCTATGTATATAATCTCAGGACTGACTGGTTTCGTTGGCCTAAACTCTATAGCTGTCTGTGTAACCTTGTCATGGGGTTAGCACTGAGGCCTCTTTGTACTTGGGCATATGTTACATACTCTGGGGAGTTCAGAGAAATTTGAACAATGATTGATCAGATTGCTGAAACACTATGGGAACAGGTTTTGAAGACCCTGGGTGATAATTTGACAGAGGAAAACATAAGGCAGTCTGTAACAAACTCTATCAAAGCAAGCCTGACTGTCCAGCTGTCTCATCATGCCAGATTAAAGACTGACTGACAGTTCATCTCCTCATGGACTCCACTCTTTCTTCTTTTCATGCTAGCTGTACAATGAGAACTCAAATAAAAATAAACCAAAGTTTACAATCAACTGTAGAAGTAGTTTAGTATAACTGGCTTCACAGATGGCTGCCACAGAGTTGAAATTGTTGGTTTTAAGCATTCTATTTATGGCTCCTAAGACATGAAGACTAACTGTGCATTAGTTTTCATGCACACTTGTGCCATGTTTAATTCTTTTTTTTCCATTTTTACTTAATCTAATGTTAGTGAAATCTGTCTTATGTAAAGGATATTTCAGGGAAATATTTTAAGAAATCTATTTAGAGTCTCTTTAACACAGTGTCCCATTGAAATTTTAATTTTTAGAGGTTATGAATCACTGTATCAAGAACCAGATTGCAATGACAATGAAGCCTTTATTGAGCCACGACATTAAAAGTACATATTGCTTTACTGCCTTCAATACCAGTATTACATAAATGCATGTATCAGGAACTTCACAGAAATTACATGATAACTCTTGTAGCTAAGAAAATGACTCTGAGGTGTACATTTGTCTTGCCTTTGAAAATTTATAAACCTGTCCTAAAAGGAGATGCATATCTGGGAAACTGAACTGTCTTTATGCAGTTTAGCCTTCGTGTACATAAAATATGCCATTAATTTTATTGGGGGAGAAATTCCAACCAACAATGTTGCCTACAGCTATGAGTTAAGAGTATCTATACAGTGTGCAGCTTTTATTTTCTAAAATCGCAGACAGGGCATGTATATGAATTATAAATATATAAACACGATTTTGTATTAAAAGCTTTGTAGTTTATGACAAAATCTAGTTCTGTGGTAGGCTAATGAGTACAGTCACTGTGAAGGAATGTTTGTGGCTCATGTCAGTGTGTGAATGCAGAGACAATTTGAAGTTTTTGATATATTTGTGATATTTATCTTCTTGAGCACTGCAATCTCACCCCCCCCCCCCCCCAAGGGAATCAAAGGGGAAGTTTTTTCGGGACTTTTTCTCCTTTGCAATTTAAAGTTTTTTCCTTTTATTTATTTTAAATAAATAATATATTTTTATATATATATATATATATATATATATATATATAAAGGAACAGAAGTGGGAATTGAACATCCAGCCAGAAAAAGATGGCACAGAGTTGCCAGAAGATGGGCAGGTGGGAGCAAGGGGTACCTTAGCTAGAATTAAAACAGCTAGGAAAAGACTGTCCTAAGAGGTGACAGTGATGCACAGGAAGGGTGGGGAGAGATAGCCCTGCAGAGATCTGGGAACAGGGCCCCAGATGAAGGAAAATGCAAGGGGAAAAGCTGCAAATTGGGCAGGAATTTTGCAAGTTCAGGACCTCCTGGCTGACTGCGGTGAGTAAGGGAAGAAGGGGAGAGGAAGAAGCATGGAGGAAGTCATGGGGCAGATCCAGCACAGGCCTGTGGGCCACAGTGCAGGAGGTTGTACTTATTATAAGTGTGATGGGAGCACCTGAGTGGCTGACCCATTCATTCATTTAACCATTTATTGAGTGCCCTTTACAAGCCCAGGCTGTTCTAGGTCTTGGCAGAGAGCAGCAACAGGCGCTCATGGTCCAGGGCTGGAAAGAGATGCTAAACGAGTAACGATATAAATGAGCAAGACAATGTCAGAGGGATGCAAAGATTCCAAAGTCAAGAAAATAGAGTTTCCCTGGTGGTGCAGTGGTTAAGAATCCGCCTGCCGATGCAGGGGACAGGGGTTTGAGCCCTGGTCCGGGAAGATCCCAAGTGCCGCGCGGAGCAACTAAGCCCGTGCACCACAACTACTGAGCCTGCACTCTAGAGCCCGTGTGCCACAACTACTGAGTCTGTGAGCCACAACTACTGAAGCCCACGCACCTACAGCCTGTGCTCCACAACAAGAGAAGCCACCGTAATGAGAAGCCCTCACAACCCAAGGAAGAGTAGCCTCCGCTGGCCACAACTAGAGAGAGCCTGCATGCAGCAACGAAGACCCAACACAGTTAAAAATAAAACAAATAAATTTTAAAAAGAAAGAAAATAGAGCGAGAAAACAAGAGGTCACTGTCTGCTTTCGACAGGGCACCAGGGAAAGCCTGTTTCAGCACAGCACACTGGAGTGAGTCTGATATAAAGTGAGGAAGGAGCCAAGTGAATGGGAAGTTAACAAATAAGACAAGTCCTGACAGCGATCAGGACTATGAGGGTACTCAGAGCCACGGCTATGGAATTACCCAGGACCTCTTGTGTTTTCATGTCCAAACGGACACCACACTCCTGCACACTATCACCACTTACCACTATCACCACTTACCATATGTAACTGAGCCTCAAATAGGAAAACAGATTCAGTGGGAAGCCAGTTCCACTGGCTGTAAACTGAAAGACAAATTCCTTGGCCTTCTGGGCGCCCTGCCTGTCCTGACACCCTTTCTGTCCTAGCAGGGCTGCAATCCCCAAGCTGCTGCAGGCTGCTCCTGCCTCTTCCTCACCCCAGCCCTTATCTTTGTAGAGGTTACACAGCTGGGAAGCCCAAGGGTCAGATTCCCCCAGGGATGAGCCTCTAAGATCAACAAAGGCTTAAGAGGCACCTCCGTGGAAAGAGAGCCAGAGTGATGCTCCCTGCACCGTGCTGTACTCGGGGGGATACACGTCACCTATGTGGTTTTTCTAGTTCCCTCAACCCAGTTGGAGGAACTTTAGCATAAAAGCCAAGGACAGGGACTTCCCTGGCTGTCCAGTGGTTAAGACTCCGCGCTCCCAATGCAGGAAGCACGGGTTCCATCCCTGGTCGGGGAACTAGGATCCCGCATGCCTCACCACGCAGCCAAGGAAAACAAAACAAAACATAACCAAGAACAGCAGGGAAAGCTGCTCAAGGTCCTAGACTCGGGAAGAGGCGGAGCCGCAACACACAGAAAGGTCTCCGGACTGTGCGGCCTGCGCTCCTCCCTGCGGGTCCTTCCACGCTACCGGTATGGGGTCAGGGGGATTCGAGAAGCCACATCTCTCCCTACCACACAGCGTCCCACTCACTGACTGACAGAAATGGGACCCTCCGTGTGAAGCCCCTTACCTGGATTCCCACCCGAAGCACAAGCGACCCCATCCCGAGGCTCCGACAAACAATACCCTGGGGAGGACAAGGTGACGACTCACAGGACACCACCATCCTGCACAGCAGCGCGCCTCGGCCACGTGGGTGGGGTCCTAGCGGGCGTGGCCTGGCGCACCGTCCACTCACCTGCGCGGGGGTCACCAGCGCCGCCATCGCACCGCGGGGAGCGTAGGACCACGTGAGGGCGCCGGAGACCGGCGGGTCCAGCGGACTTAGCTGACCCTCCCCCAGGTCGTACAAAGGCGCAGGAGGGCCCTCCAGGCTGTCCTCCCCGCTCCGTCCCGACGACCCGGGTAGAAGTCACCTAAGATAGAGACACAACTGCCCCATCGCGAACAAACGGCCTCCCTGGCGACACAGGAAGTCCCGCCCCTGACAACGCGAACCACTAACGCCCGTTTTCTGTGACGTCATCAGAGCGGCGCTCACAGCCATTCCGCGGAGCATAGTCTTCAGGGTAATGTAGTTCTTGTCCAGCATCCGCTCGGAAATGGGAGTCTGCTCCTTGAAGCCAGTGTCCCAGAGGCGGGAGACTGGAGCTGGCAAAGGGCCTACAGAGGCTCCAACGAAGGAGGCGAGGCATTGGATGTTTCTAAAGGGGACACACCCAGTTTCCCTGTTGTGTTTCCTTTATCTTGTCATTTAAGATGCACCTAACTGAGCAAGTGGACATACTGTATGGTAAACTTTTTAAACTTCGTATTCTGCTGCCTCCCATCGCCACAGGCTGTGAGCACCCCGCCCAGATGACTGAGTACACCAGAGTGATGAGGCTGTGGCACCTGACACAAGCTCCCCTTGTCCTCCCTTGTGACCTAGTGACATTACAAGGCACCAATGAAATTCCCTCATGACATCTGCCTGTGTACTCCCCGCCCCCCGCTGCCCGACCTTGTCTTGGGGGCCTCTCTCTCTCTGTCTGGGCTCTCCTCCTGATTGGTTGAGCCTGCTCCGAGGATATCATGATATCACGCAGATACAAAGTACCTACAGTCATAGATGTGAACTAATAAACTTTATCTTGCTACTGTTCAAATACATGCAGACTGAAGTTTCACAGTTCTGTGCGTTTCGGCGTGTTTGCTCAGGGTCTAGAGAGAACCATGGCCATTACTAGGATGTTGCAGAAGAAGAGGTTGGGCGTCCCTTAAACAGGTGGACAATAGAAAATCTTTGCTTTCTATAAATGTTTAAATAAATTCATGAAGATCTTCAAAAGTATGTTTGGGGGGGCTTCCCTGGTGGCGCAGTGGTTGAGAGCCCGCCTGCCGATGCAGGGGACACGGGTTCATGCCCCTGTCGGGGAAGATCCCACATGCCGCAGAGCGGCTAGGCCTGTAAGCTATGGCCGTTGAGCCTGCGCGTCCGGAGCCCGTGCTCCGCAATGGGAGAGGCCACAACAGTGAGAGGCCCGCGTACCGCAAAAAAATAAAAAAGTATGTTTGGAACATATACAGAAGATTTATTTTACAAAAAGTGAAAGTGCTTTAACATAAATTATAAATTTAAGTGTATGTTATTATCCAAATATCTTCATATTTATTCTGTCCCTTCTATTTTTTGAAAACATAATCCCTTTAAGGGGAGACATTATATTGTAGACTCCATTCAGCAAGCAGGAGCCCAAAGAAAAACCTTGATGCACACACTGCAGTGTCACTAAGTCACAATATGCCTGCTTTCAATAGTTGGCAACCAAAATATATTATATTACTCTCCAACTTCCTATAGATCAGAACTTTAGAGATAATTTTGTTAGCGTCAGTGTATGCATTCAAGGTGAGACAGGCTGTGACCTGGGACCTGGGACCCTTTGCTGTAGTGCTTGCACCTGGATGAACATCTCCTCAAGCAACAGATACAAAGAAACTACAAGGGACTAAAAATAACTGTGTACATGTGCTTTAGGGCAAATTATGAACAGCAAAATACAAAAGACCAAAAACCCAACTGCCACTTCTGAGGTGTCGGAAGCAAGAGCAGGGTACTGTGCATGAGCCCTGCACAAAGCACCACCAAGGGCGTGGGCAGACCACCTAAGCCATGCCTCCGTTCCAACTCTCAACCCTCCTCTTACCCTCACCCCATTTAAGGGACCAGCTCACCCCCACATCAGGGAGCAAGCAAGGGAAACTGTTACTTGCTTTTTTGCTCCCTAGTGCTGCAGCATGAGACCCAGCAAAGTCTTGTCTGAATTTCTTGTCTGGCCTCTGATCAATTTTGATTAAGGAGGCCAAGAACTCTGGTCAGTAACAAAGGGATAAGAAAGAAAAGATTTCAGCAAGGATCATGACAGGGGAAATGGATGACAGCTGTAAGGAGGTCCATAAGGAAGTAGATGATGAGGCATTCTGCCTGCTTCCCACACAAAATAATTCATTCCTGCATGGGTACACCTCAGTGTTTCTGTTGAAACCCCAGCAAGCCCAGCTAATACATATATATATATATATATATATAATACATTTGTTTATTTTTGGTTGTATTGGGTCTTTGTTGCTGCACGCGGGCTTTCTCTAGTTGCGGTGATCAGGGGCTACTCAGTTGCAGTGCGCAGGCTTCTCATTGCAGTGGCTTCTCTTGTTGTGGAGCATGGGTTCTAGGCGCACAGGCTTCAGTAGTTGCAGCACGCGGGCTCAGTAGTTGTGGCTCGCGGGATCTAGAGCGCAGGCTCAGTAGTTGTGACGCACAGTCTTAGCTGCTCTGCGGTATGTGGGATCTTCCCAGACCAGGGCTCGAACTCGTGTCCCCTGCATTGGCAGGCAGATTCTTAACCACTGCACCACCAGGGAAGCACACAGCTATATTAAAAAATATATATATTTTTTGGATGTGGACCATTTTTTAAAGTCTTTTATTGAATTCGTTACAATGTTTCTTTGTTTCTGTTTTTGTTTTTTTGGCCACACCACAGGGCATGCGGGATCTTTGTTCCCTGAGCAGAGATCAAACCCATGCCCCCTGTAGTGGAAGCTCTGTTTCTTAACCATTGGACAGCCAGGGAAGTCCCTCAATTTGTTACAATGCTGCTTCTGTTTTATGTTTTGAATTTTATGGTCCAGAGGCATGTGGGATCTTAGTTCCCTGTCCAAGGATCGAACCCGCACCCCCTGCATTGGAAGACAAAGTCTTAACCACTGGACAGCCATGGAAGTCCCTAGCCCAGCTATTTTCCCATTTATTTATTATTTTTAAATTTTATTTATTTATTTTTGGTGGCGTTGGGGCTCTGTTGCTGAGCACGGGCTTTCTCTAGTTGTGGCGAGCAGGGGTTTCTCTTGTTGCGGAGCTCGGGCTCTAGGCGCACAGGCTTCAGTAGTTGTGGCTCACGGGCTCTAGAACATGGGCTCAGTAGTCGTGGCGCACTGGGTTAGTTGCTCCGAGGCATGTGGGATCTTCCCGGACCAGGGATAGAACCCGAGTCCCCTGCATTGGCAGGTGGATTCTTAACCACGCGCCATCAAGGAAGTCCCTATTTTTTCCATAAAATATTTCTAACTCAATTTCCTGAAATAGATACTGCTATGATCTCAACGTTTGTGTCTCCCTCAATTCATATGTTCAAAACCTAATGCCTAACGTGATGGTATTAGGAAATGAGGCACTTTGGGAAGTGGTTAGCTCATGAGGCCTCTACTCTTATGAATGGAATTAGCGTCCTTGTAAGAGAGGCCCCAGAAATTTCCCATCGCCTCCTGTCATGGAAGGATATAGCAAGAAGGAAGGCTGTCTATGGACTAGGAAATGGGCTTTCACCAGATCTGCCAGCACCTTGAGTTTGGACTTCCACCTTCTAGAACTGTGGGAAATAAATGTCTGCTGTTTATAAGCCACCCAGTCTATGGTGGTTTCTTATAGCAGTTTCGAATGGACTGAGACAAATACAATTAATTTTAAAATATGAGACTTATCGGAAAAGAAGAGCAACTTAGCTAAATGCTATTTCCTACTAGGACACTGGCTGCCACAATCACAGTCTGAGCATGTGTGCAAAAGGGGCATCTTACCCCCGAGAGATAAACATTTGTTATTGTTTGAGGAGGATGATAGTGCTCCAAATAATTATCCTGAAAATTGCTGGAGTGAACAGATCTAGCTCTTTCCTCCCTTTTCTGTACAAAATGTATTTTGAGGTAGCCAAATAGAAAATTATGGAAAAGTTTTCTTTATACAGGATTTCTAGCTAAGAAATGCAGAAATAGCAATAGAAGTAGGTACAAATGTTTCAATAGCTTATAAAATAATCAACTACCCTGAATCATCAGCGCATGAAGACAATGGATAAAAGATGCATGGCAAAATGATGCCTGTAGAGAAACACTCATAATATTGGAACCCCGTTGCAAAAGAGAGACACCCAGACATCTGAACAGGCTTATGTGATGCAGTCACAATTTCTCAGCACTGTGTGTGGAGTATTATGACCAAAGGCTGAATCTGGATTTCAAACTTGTTTGGATGACAGGACTGTTCACTGAAATTGGGGGGAAAATTCTGTTATTCATGATGAGCTCAAGGTGGTTTGAGATAGTCAAGAGAACCTGGAAAAGGAGATGGGAGAGCATTATAACAGACTCATCTGGGACTTCCCTGGTGGTCCAGTGGTTATGAATCTGCCTTGCAATGCAGGGGACATGGGTTCGATCCCGGGTTGGGGAACTAAAATCCCACATGCCGCGGGGCAACTAAGCCTGCGTGCCACAACTGGAGAGCCGCTTGCTGCAACGAAAGATCCAGTGTGCCACAACTAAGACCCGATGCAGCCAAAAGTTTTTTTAAAAAGAAAAGAAAAAAGAAAGAACAGACTCAGGATATGAGTTAGGGCTGAACAGGGACACTTACTGGCTGGCTGAGCAGCGTGAAGAAGGACTAAGAGGGGAGAGGCCACAACATGGCAGGGAAGCCAATCCACTCATTTTATGGATCCAGATTCCTTCCTTTATAGTCAGATGTGAGAGAGACAAGGCCAAATATCATATTGGTATTTCTAGGGCACAAAGGCAAGGGACACACAGTGCAAGGAAAAGCCTCTGATAGTCTGATGGACAAAGGGGTGGGGGGAATGAATAAAATGAATGAAGAATGTGGGAAATGACGGGATGCGGAGTATAGTAGAGAGAGTAATTTCAAGGGGAAGAAATATTCCTTTTCTCCTGAGCTGGGAAGACAATCTACAAGAAAACGTACATCACTATTATTCATTATGATTCATATTATTACACGGATAATACAAATAATTTATTTTTGTTGATCCCCTTCCTATGAGGAAGGCACTGTTCTATGCACTTCTGTGCATTATGTCATTACACCCTCAAGCAACCCAAAGCCACAGAAATGATTATCATTCTATTTGTCAAGAGCAAAGTGAGAATTTTTAAAAAGTAGCTATAGCACAGGGAACTATATTTAATATCCTGTAATCACCTATAATGGGAAAGAATCCAAAGATATATGTATATATGAATCAGTTTGCTGTACATCTGAAACTAATACAACATTGTAAATTAACTATACTTCAATTTAAAAAAAGAGTAGTAGACTGATGAACAGAATATTTCAGATCCATTTAATTAGATTAATTAGAAAACGACTCCAGCACGGTGAGCTTCACGTTCTCAGCATCCCATGAGATTGTAAACCAAGCTCATTTTCTTATCTCCTCAGGAACACAGCAAACCACACGTCCCAGTCCTGGCACCCAGGTGTGGCCTCCTGTCAATGGCATGAGAGTGGAAGGGATGTCTGTGTGCAAGTGGTTATGACTACTGCCCTCCTCTCTCATTGCTCCTATGCAAACAGGATGATGCCAGAGCAGACTTCATGACATTTTTTTTTTTCCCCTTAAATTCCATATATCTGCGTCTTTATTCCTGTCTTACCCCTAGGTTCTTCATGACATTTTTTTTTCCCCTTAAATTCCATATATCTGGCCAGAGCAGACTTAAAGCCAGATGGTGACAGGAGAAGGAACCTGGGTCCTTGAACAATTGTGCTCCCCAGAGCTCCATTCTGACCCACACTGGACCTTGAGGTGAGCAAGAAACAACCAGGCCCCCAACGAGGCCACACTGAGGAGCTTCCCACAGACATCCAGAGGCAGGAGTTCCCTGCCTCTGGATGTCTGTGGGAAGCTCCTCAGTGTGGCACACATCCAGTCAGCTCATGGTTGTCCTTGTGTACACATACTTTGGTCTCCTTATTCAGGAACATGGTTTGCACCTTCATCTTACAACGTTAGGCATCTCTTCCTGTGGGCCTGGCCCTAAATGCTTCTATTTTGGCTTTTCCTCACAGCCTCCCCATGAAGCAGGTGCCTCACAGGCATCATTTTCCATAGGATGAAATCAACTCTCAGGGAGATAAATGTACTTGCTGAAAGGCAGGGATCTGATGAGCAGCTGAACAAAGTTGTACACCAGGTTGGCTGCATCTGATGTCTGTAATGTATAACCACAAAGCTATGCAGCACTGCTCCAGAATGGGCCAAGTCCTGGCACGATGGTGATCTCTATTTAAAAAGACAGAAATATCATCAACCAAAGAAATAAATTGATTATTTGAAGCTTAATCAAAAATAAAACTTTGCTGTTCAAGAGACAGTTAAGAAAGTGAAAACTCAAGTCACAACCTGGGGAAATATATTTGCAAGAAATATACGTGATAAATGACTGATTCTCAATTTATAAATAGTCCTTATACCAATAATAAAAAAAAACACAATTTAAAGTATTTGCAAAAGTTTTGAAGGTATACATCACCAAAGAAGTATAAATGGTAAAGAAGAAAATGAAAATATGCTTCTTGTCATTAATCACCATTGTAAACACAATTTAAAGCCATAGTGAGGTACTACTACACACTCATTTGAATGACTAGAATTCAAGAACAGATAATACCAAATTGATAAATATGTGAAACAGTTACTACTCTCATATATTTCTTGAGTGAATAGAAATTGGGTGACTTCCCTGGCGGTCCAGTGGTTAAGACTCCACGCTTCCAGTGCAGGGGGTGAGGATTCAATCCCTGGTCCAGGGACCTAGATCCCACATGCCGTGCGGCCAATAATAGTAATAATAATAGGGCTGCCCTGGTGGCGCAGTAGTTAATAATCTGCCTGCCAATGCAGGGGACACAGGTTCGAGCCCTGGTCCGGGAAGATCCCACATGCCGTGGAGCAACTAAGCCCATGTGCCACAACTACTGAACCTGCGCTCTAGAGCCTGTGAGCCACAACTGCTGAGCCCGTGTGCCACAACTACTGAAGCTGCGTGCCTCGAGCCCGTGCTCCGGAACAAGAGAAGCCACTGCAATGAGAAACCCAGCCACTGCAACAAAGAGTACCCCCTCTCGCCGCAAATAGAGAAAGCCCGTGCACAGCAACGAAGACCGAATGCAGCCCCCCCAAAAATAAATAAAATCATAATAATAATAAATAGAAATCGGTAATTAACTTTAGAAAATACAACTGTACTCTTTTGAGATGGTATATATATACATATCATATGATATACACAGTAATTTCACTTGCAGATATATCCTTAAGAAAAATTAAATCATATAACTTAGAAACACTTCTGTGGAAATAGTCACAAAAATAGCAGCTTTATTCATAAAAGCCAAAACACAATATAATATTTGTGATTTTACTTTTATTTTTCCCCATCATGTGCTAAAATATCTAAACTAATCCCAAGATAGAGTGGCTCATGCTACATCTCAAGTCCCCATGCTGGAACCTACCTCAATTTCTATTTTTTGTAAGTATTTGACTCTGTCAGAAGTGGAAACCTAAGGCCACCCAATCAGAATACGCCTGCTCAGCTTTAGTTTTTCACACCCTAGCTCCAAAACTTCCCTGTACTCCATATAAGAAAAGTTAACCCACGTACGACCAATCAGCAATTGCCTAGTATGATTTCCTTGTCCTCAAGGACAGGAATTTTGTGTAAGTAATCTGTGCATTCTAAATGGCTCTTTGGAGCTCCTTCCTGTTTGCTACACTGGATGATTCCCAGTTTGTGAATAAGTACATAAAAGGCAACTGGATTCCAAAATTAATGACTCTGAAATTTTCCCTTAACACATATGTCAAGACTTTTTTCCTTTTTAAAAAAAGATAGATTTCTATGGTCCAAATATGTGGGGTGTTTTTTTTTTTTTTTTTTGCGGTACGCGGGCCTCTCACTGTTGTGGCCTCTCCCGTTGCGGAGCACAGGCTCCGGACGCGCAGGCCCAGTGGCCATGACTCACGGGCCCAGCCGCTCTGCGGCATGTGGGATCTTCCTGGACCGGGGCACGAACCCGTGTCTCCCGCATCGGCAGGCGGACTGTCAACCACTGCGCCACCAGGGAAGCCCCAAGTATTTTTAATTCAATTTTATGTTCTACTCTTGAATTTTTAATTTCTTTGCTTCCTTTCTTCTTGTTTTTGGCAGGTATAGCAATGCTACTTAGAGCTATCTGACATGTTCCCTGATTGATATACTGGTTTATGTAGTGCATATATCAATAGAAAGTAGTTTTTGCATGAAGGGACATAGGTTTTAAAGTAAATGTATAATACTAAACACTACTGCAAGATAATTTTAATAGATACCCAATGCTAGTTTATGATATTTACTAATATCTTCAGTGTTACCAACATTTACTTACTAACGTCAGACTTACTGAGTCTCATCAATCTGATTGGGTTCATTTGTATTTGCATTTTTTCCTGTTGGAAAATACGGTTCTTTTATTTTTAGAAAATTTAGTTTCTTTCTGGTAATTCTAATCTCAAGTGGCATACAAGAATTTTGCCTTCACGGGTTTCAAATATTTCTCTCATTAATTTGTAGTATTTATTGAATTTACTTATTATTTACATATTAATGCTTAAAAAGTATAGGTGGCTCAATATCTTATGTGTTTTCTTCTTATTGCAATTTTTATGATTTTTTTAAAGTAAAAGAAACCTGCTATTATGATATAGTTTTTGTATATGCTGTGATCATTTTTACATATGGGTTGAGAAGTCCTGCAAGGCATACCAAATTAATAGTGCTGTGAAATGTGAAATAAAAAGGAGTCACTTATGTCAAGGGATTTTAACATGGAGCTGGGAGGCTATTAATTAGTGAACCTCCTGCACTTTCCCATCATGTGAAACCATGAAGTTTTTTTTTTTCTAACATCTTTATTGAAGTATAATTGCTTTACATTGTTGTGTTAGCTGCTGCTATGTAACAAAGTGAATCAGCTATACATATACATATATCCCCATGTCCCCTCCCTCTTGCGTCTCCCTCCCACCCTCGCTATTCCACCCCTCTAGGTGGTCACAAAGCACCAAGCTGATCTCCCTGTGCTATGCGGCTGCTTCCCACTAGCTATCTATTTTATCTTTGTTAGCGTATATATGTCCATGCCACTCTCTCACTTCGTCCCAGCTTACCCTACCCCCTCCCCGTGTCCTCAAGTCCATTCTCTACGTCTGTGTCCTTATTCCTGTCCCCCTAGGTTCTTCAGAACCATTTTTTTTTCTTAGATCCCATACATATGTGTTAGAATACGGTATTTGTTTTTCTCTTTGTGACTTACTTCACCCTGTGTGACAGACTCTAGGTCCATCTACCTCACTACAAATAACTCAGTTTCGTTTCTTTTTAGAAAGCATAAACTTTTGATCTGGGCCAACCTGGACCCCTCTTTGCCTTTAAAATCTCTTGACTTTTATTCCCCAGCTGGACACCTTTTGGGTTGTCACTTGAATGTGTGTCCACAATTGCAAATCTTTGATCCCAAACAAATGTGTCATGCTTGATTAACGCCGCTCAGGTTTACTTAGGTCCACAGTATCAATGACAGACTTCATTATCTAATTTTATATACTTATTCTCTTAGCCAATGATGACGAACTCAGGGATATTTAGTTGCATATAATTCCCTTTTTAATTTTTTATTCTAAAATATTATTGACTTGATTTTTCTAACTTGAAAATTCTTCCAAGATTTTTATAAAAACAACAACAACAACAGGTAATACTGTGGCTACTTTCAGCCTTTTCACAACTGGAATGCTTTTTTGCTAATCCTGTATCAACTTTTATGTTGAAAGGTTATACATAAAGGCTTTGCTGGGTCTACTTTGATGTGCTTTTAATTTGTACTTCCCTCAAGGACAAGGTGCATTAATGCCCTGGGGCTTTTCACATCACAAACCGGCAGCGAGGGGAACTACATTACCCAGAAGACTGTGTGGACCGGCCTTGTTCTCCTCTCCAATGAAGGCACCAAATTAAGGCTCTTCCGGATTTTGAAATAACCATGGGCGGGACTTCCGGCGTCTTTCTGATGGCGGTGGTTTGGCGGCTTTTGCTGCCGTCTGCAGGTCCCGAGGCTCTAGGTCACTCGGTGGAGCGGAGCTTAGAGAAACTGGAAGGAGCCCGAGCGGGCGCCGTCCACACTGCCCAGGAGTGAGCGGGTTGCGGAACCCGCTTCCGGGATTTTCGGCCTAGGTCTCCGCCATTATCCTGCGCGTCTCCTGGCACCACCGCGCCCACAGGGTCCTATGTCAACCAACGCGGTGCAGGACCCGGCCCAGGTGACTGGTCCGCCCCCTCCGCGCGCCCCCCCCCGATCCTGACCCAAATCTTCAAGCCCCCAGGGAGGGTCTCCTGCTCAGGGCACTGGGGTTCAGTCCCCTGCTTCCAGAACTTTAGGTGTGCGTGTGTGGTAGTCCCATTTCTGACAGGATGTGTGACACAGTGTGGAGCGTGTTAAACGCTGTGAGCTTGGCCCGTGCAAAGCATTGGAGGTGCTCAAGAGCCGGGAGCATTCGGGAGTCCAGGACTTAGGCTTTCACCACATGGACATCAGTCCGCCAGTGACCTCCTCCCCCAGGGCAGGAGGTTCTTTCTGCAGGGACAGGGCATTTAAGGAGGAGTCAACAGACTGCGTCAACTGAGCCAACAGTCATCATTCTGGGAACCATGGAGGGTTGTGAATAAATCAGGACGACCCTCTGAGTTTTAAAGTATTTCAAAGGCTGCTCAGGGGAGAACAGACTGGGGAGGGGGAGCTGAGGGTGAAGGCAGGGAGACCTGGGAGAGCCTAGTGCATTCCACTCCAAAGAGTAAGGTGGCTTCTGGACCAGAGTGGTGCCTATGGAAGTTGCTGACCTGAAACAAACAGCCTGCACGCTATTTCACTTGCAAAGATGGGGTTTTTTGTTTGTTTTTATTCCAGAATCATCAGGGAATTGCAATTGGGGTGTGCAACCAAGGTGAGCTAAGACTTTTATAGAGATTAAAGAAGGAAGTTAGAAGGGCTGTAGTCACCAAAGAGTCCATCGCTTTTCATTGTCCAAGTCCTTCCCAGGAAAGAAGAGAGTCTTCTTCCTTTTGGATACTGTTATTGTCTCAGGTCAGTGAGGGCTCCCCCTTCCGGTGTGCCAACTTTAATTGAGGTTTCTGTTTATTAATTTTTTTACAAAGGAATTTAAGTAATAAGATTCCCAGTAAACCTTAAAGATAATTGGTAGGATTTCCTGGTGCTGTGAATGTGGCTCTGAGCTAAAGGACAGATTACAGTACATTAAAGGTTTTCTTTTGGCAGAGCATCTGGGAAGACTTGAGACCAGACTGATGTGAGAAGTCAGTTTTAGGGAGAGATTAAAAGCTGGATTCGGGACATGCTGTTTCTGAGATCCCAAAGTTGAGGTAACAATAGGAGCTGCTGGAATCTGTAATCTGGAATTGAGGGAGGAGGACACTGGCGGACTGATGTCCATGTGGTAACAGCCTAAGTCTTGGACTCCAGCCAAGACAGGATCTCAAATTTAGGAGGGAAAAGTTGTCACTCTTCTGTGCAAGGGGACCTCAGATGAAAGTAGAGAGACCTGGGGCTGGAGGGCAGGGCAGAGGGGGTGGGACTTTCTGAGGCTGCCTGAAGATGGGAGGGTCCTATGGTTCCAGGGCTTTCTGGGGAAGCAAGGGTATAAGGAGTAAGGAGCCTTACCTGGGATGGAGATGGAGAAGAAAGTGTGACGTGTAGCTTCACGGCACTGAACACGCAGCCGACTATCTATTCCTTGTGGAGCCAGAAAACGGTCAGCCAGGGTGGTGGAGCAGCTCAGGCCCAGTCAAGGGCACACGTGCCTCAGCTCTCCCAGGAAACTACAAGGTTAAAAATGTAGAGATTTGGGCTTCCCTGGTGGCGCAGTGGTTGAGAGTCCGCCTGCCGATGCAGAGGACACGGGTTCGTGCCCCGGTCCGGGAAGATCCCACATGCCGCGGAGCGGCTGGGCCTGTGAGCCATGGCAACGGGAGAGGCCGCCACAACAGAGAGAGGCCTGCGTACCGCAAAAAAAAAAAAAAGAAAAAGAAAAAGTATAGATTTAGCAAGTTAATCTTGTGTAAGCAAGTAATAACTGCTTAAAATGAGAATATATATCTGTGCTATAATAATATACATATGTTTAGGTTTTGTTTTGGGCTCTTCACCTAGAGCTCTGAACCCCTTGGAATTTCCTGGATTTAGGATTGTTTTTTGTTATTCACAACTAGCCTCTTTAATCACAAAGGAGTTTGACTTAGGGTGGGTCCCCTAGATAACCTCAGGATTGGACTGATCACCAGGAAAATAAGGTGAATAGAAGGTTAAACTTTCATCCCCACATGGGACCTCCCAAGGATCAGGGGGGAGCTGGAGATTAAGTGTAAAAACTGCTGAACAATGAAATTCAAGGTTCCTTCAGATTGGTGAACACATTGAAATGGTGGAAGTGCTGGGAGGGTGGCGTGTACTGAAAAGGCCTGGAAACCCCCTGCTGCCCTCCATCCCCCCAACCCTGACCTAGACGTCACTTCCATTTGACTGTTCCAAAGTTGTATACATTACAGTAAACCAAAAAAAGTAAGAAGTGTTTTCCTAACTTCATGGGTCATTTCAGCAAATTATCGAAACCGAGAAGGGGCTCATGGGAAACCCTGAATTTGTAGCCAAGTGAGACAGAAGTCCTGGTAGCCTGGGGACCAGGGGTCGGAACTAGCTTCTCAAAAGAGGGCAGTTTATGGGTTTGATGCCTTAAACCTGTGGATTCTGTCACTAAGTTCAGGTAGTGTAATAATAGGAATGAATTTTAGGGCACCATAGTGGTGTCATAAAATTAGATAATTGGTGGTTGAAAAAAGATACTTTGTCTCAGAAAGCCTTGAAAGACATGTAAGAAAAACCTAATTTTCAAAAACATTTATAGAAATCTTAATCCTGTGTTCTGTAATAGCTGAATCTTACCATGGGAGAGGTAATAATGCATTTGGTATGTACACATTATGAGTTAGACATCCTAAGTGTTGCCATTTACATGAAGACACTGAGACTCAAAGAGGGTGAGTGTTTCTTTCTTGCCACGCCCCATGGCATGTGGGATCTTAGTTCCCCAACCAGGGATGGCACCCGGGCTCCCTGCAGTGGACGCTTGAAGTCTTAACCACTGGACCGCCAGGGAAGTCCCAAGGATGTTGAGTCTTTGTCTAAGGCTATCGAGTTGTCAAGCTATAGCTCTGAAGAGTGAGGATCTGAGGTCAGAGGTCAGCCTCAGATGACTCATGTCCGGGAAAAGGAAGGGAAGAAACAGCTCAGCCTTTACATCCTCACATCCCCTTTACCTCAGATACTCCCTCTTTTCACAGGTTCCCATGGTGGCAGCAGCATTTATGGTCCCTGGACAGGTAAGTGGAAGAAGCCCCAGTACCTACCCAGACATCATCGCTACCCCTAGTCCCGACACACAGATATAGGAGACAGTGTTGTCCTGGGATTGTGGGTCCTTAGGTCTGGGCCCTGGCATCATCTCAGGCACAGGACCATTAATCAAAGCCAGAAGTTGTACAGAGGTGTTCCCATGTGTCCAGTGGAGAAGGTCAAGTGGTGACATGTCCTTGGGCACAGCCTGGAGATGAGACTGAGAGGGGAGTCTTCAGGGAACTGCCGAACCCATGACATGGGCTGATAAAGACTGAGGTCATGAGTCATTTCTGGGATGGCAGCCTGAGGAGCTGGGCCTCTCCTGAGGGGGCGGGTCCATGACATGTGGCCTCAGAAGAGGGAAGTGATCTGACGCTGGGTCTGAAGAGGCTGTTCTGCCTGCCGAGAGGAAGAAGACTGGGGGTGAGGGTGGAGCCAGGGGCCCAGTGGAGGGTACAGTCCTGGTGAATGTCGATTGTGACTGGATCCTGGCAATGGCTCTGTAGCAGGAGAGGAGGTGAGTCTCTGAATCTCGTTTGTGGTAGAGCTGATTTTCTGCTGTACAGGATGAGAGAGAGTGGTCTGACATGACCCCAGGATGTTTGGCTCTAGGTGACGGTGGGGACGCCACGTCTGAGATGGGAAGTCAGAAGTAGGAGTAATGGACAGAAGGACTGTCCAGAGTTCCTTGTCCCCAGGCTGAGTCTGAGATATTGCCGGGGTGTCTCGTGGGAGGTGTCAAGTGGGCCACTAGAAACACACACCTGGAGTTCAGGAAAGATGGGATTCAATCTTCAGGATTGAAGATACCCCTGAGAGGTGGATGGCATGCGGACCAGGTCAGATTACAGGCCCTCAGGTCATGTGTGGGTGCCATGAAAGTTGTAGGATAGAGAAGGACATGCCCTCCCTGGGCATGAGGACAGGGGTGGCTGTCATCACTAAGATGGATGAGGCAGTGCAGTGACCATGAGTGTGTGGGGGCCGGGAGTGGTCTCAGGGGAGGTCCTGGTCATGGCACAGGATTCGAAGGGGTGGATAAGGTATGGTTTCAGAAGCTAAGCAGGAATGGAGGTCAGATGACAGGGAGGTAAGGCCTGGGGCATTGTTTCCCCTCCACAGGCTCAGAGTCTTGTGATGACTGCGGTTGGAGCCTGAAGAGAGTGAGACTGGACGACAGACCAGCTGAGGGCAGATGAGCACAGCTGGGACTGGGTCTTGGGCTGGGCTGGCGGGGGGCTGGGGGGCTGGGCTTGGAATGAGAGGAATAGAGAGAGGAAGGGGTGAGTGGTGCAGGGTCAGCATGTGGGACACTGTGGAGGACGAGGACTCCGGGCATCTGAGCCCACAAGATGTCTGGGTGCTGACGTGGGAACAGGGATCAGGGCCATGTGGGGAGACAGAAAGCAGTACTGGGACCGCCTGTAGCAGTGGGTCCCGCAGAGGCCTGGGGAAGCACTGAGTGCTGGGTGGCACAAGGGGAACATGATGAGGTGCCGAAGGCCTGGGGCCAAGTTGGTGGCGTGGTGTGGGGTGGGGTTCATGGTCGGGCACGTGAGGGGGTTGTGACCCTGCAGGGCTGGGCAATGGAGAGGGAGGGAGTGTGAGCATGGACTCAGGGCCCTTGTCCCCAGGCTTTACTCCAGGGGGCTGAGCACAAGTGTCATTGTGTGTGGTGTGATCTGTGTGATCTTAGGAGAGTCGACTCTGAGGAGAGTGGCTGGGGGTCTGTGTGGCAGCCTCAGAGTGTCTTGTGAGACTGCTTGTCTCCCTCTCTATTTTAACTGAATGACGTAACACTAGCAGGTTCCTGTGGCATCAGGGCCTGGTATGTCCTCTGAGCTGGGTCACTGGGGTGGACGACCATGAACTGGGGGTCCTGGTTGCAGAGGCTGCTGTGAACTCACTTGTCCCCCTCATGACAGGGCCATGTGGTCTTTGAGGATGTGGCTGTGTCCTTCTCCCAGGAGGAGTGGGGTCTCCTTAACGATGCTCAGAGACTCCTGTACTGTGACGTGATGCTGGAGAACCTGTCACTTATAGCCTCCCTGGGTAAGGACCCCTGTTCCCACGCCGTTGCCCCGTATGGGACTCTGCCCTTCTTTTTGCATGGCTCACTCCATCCTTCCGAGCCTGGACCTTGGACATTGCTTACTTCCCCGATTTCCTGGCACTTGAGCTGCATTCCCCCACCCTGTTTGTGTTCAGCCCTGTACCATAGGCCCTGAAGCCTTTTACAGAAGCCTTTGGTCTCAGAGGCTTGAAGCCTGTCCAGCTGATGCCACTTAGCTTTGCCACTGCTAGGTGTGTTGACTGTTCAGATGTGTGCAAGATCTGTGTCACACATTCTAACCCTTTTTTTTGCACTGCCTGTGTCAGGAATTACAGACACTTACATGGTCAGCATTTGTGGTCAACCCTAGATTATTTTTGCAAGACTCCTTAAGGTTCTTCTAGTGATACATTTTTTTTCCTGAAATCTGTCATTGGTTGGTTCACTCTGGGCCAGTGTCTTTCTCCTAATGGCCCTATTTTCCTCTGAGGAGTTTGATCTGGTAGGGCTCATAGTCACCCAGCCTGAGCTGAGAGGTGGAGGCAACCCTGGGTGCCTGACGAGGTAGGCCCCTCTCTAGTCATAGGACGAGGGTTAATTGCATCCTGAGCCTGGTGAGCAGGAGCTGTAGGAAGGCATGATATAATTGATGAGTTCTAATCCTACAGGGAAATGTCCTTTGCTCTCTCCTCTTTCAGCGTCAAGACTCATCATGCTCATACTTCATTTCTTTCTTCCACTTCTCCCCATTTTGACACTTTGCCCACTTTTCATTTCTACTGTGATTTCTGACTCCTGTTTTCCACCTTAGTGTCCTCCAAAACTCTCCTTTCCCCCTGTCTGCACTGTTCTCCAATTTTATGTATTTTGTATATTGTATATGCATATCCTTAATGTATCATGAGAGGTACATGTTTACTTACATTGTCTTTGAACACTGATAGTCAGGTGTAATTGCATTTTCCTGGATTGAGACTTGCATTCTACAGAGCTGCCCCTTGTCACCACCAGAAAGTCCTGCTGAAAGCCATCTGCCTAGGAGTGGGTTGTTCTAGCCTCTCCTCCCGGCACGGCGCCACATCCTGGTATCCTGTGTTCTTGCTGGTTTGAGACATTTCCTGTTCTGTGACCATCAGAGACCTAGCATTGTACAGTATCCCCTTCTACCACTTGACCCTTCCTCCCTTGTTTTAATAACAAACCCATGGGCTTATACCTACATGTGTCATGCACAGATTTGTAGTGGACTCCTGTACCACCAACGTCTCCATACAGTTTATCAGCATTTTTGTGCTTTCAGGGTGTTGGAGTGCATTAGGTACTGAGGAGGCCGCTTCTGAACAATGTGTTTCTGTAGAACAAGTGACACAAGACAGGAATCCAAATCCAGACCTATCTATCCTGAAGACTCTTACTTCAGATATGGGTGCCCTGGTAGAGAAATATGTTTTGTACCTGGCTGAGCACCAAGGAGTGCATCCTGGGCTGAAACCGTCCTCTTCTGGGGCTTGTGGGAAAATGTTCACTTCTCACCTACAACAGCAACAGAAGCAGCCCAGTGGAGAGAAACACCTCAGAAGGGAAGAAAATGGGGCCTTGCTTGTGACGAGCTGCAAAGTCTTTTTACCCGACAATATGTTCACATGTGGAGAGATTGAGAAGGCTTTCTTAGGCAGCTTGGGCTTTCCCCAGCACCAGCCCTCCCACGATGGACAGCATCCAGGTAGAAGCAGGGAGAGCAGGGAGGTCTCTCGCCCTGGACAAGGGCATTATGAGTGCAGTGAATGTGGAAAAGCCTTCAGTAAAAAGTATAAATTCACGGAGCACCTGAGAGTTCACACTGGAGAAAAACCTTATGGGTGCAGCGAGTGCGGCAAATTCTTCAGACTCAGGGGAGGTCTTTCTCATCATCGTAGAGTTCATACGGGAGAAAAGCCTTTTGATTGTGGTAAATGTGGGAAAGTCTTCATCTACAAATGTAAACTTGTTCAGCACCAAAGAGTCCACACTGGAGAAAGACCCTATGAGTGTAATGAATGTGGGAAAGCCTATGCCCGCAAGGATTCACTTGTCCAGCACCAAAAGGTCCACACTGGAGAGAAACCTCATAAATGCAGTGAATGTGGGAAGCTCTTCCTTTACAGAAATAAACTTCTTGTGCACCAGAGGATCCATACTGGAGAAAAGCCTTTTAAGTGTACCGAATGTGGGAAGTCCTTCAGTTATAAAACCAGTCTTATTATCCACCAGAGAACCCATACTGGAGAAAGGCCTCATATGTGCAGTGAGTGTGGGAAAGCCTATGTCAATAAAAAAAGTCTTATTGTACACCAGAGAATTCACAATGGAGAAAAAGTTTATGGGTGTAAGAAATGTGGGAACTTCTTTATAAGCGGCTTTGCCCTCAATAAACACCAGAGTGTTCACACTGCACAAAGGCATTATGAGTGCAGTGAATGTGGGAAAGCTTTCAAGAGGAAAATCAGACTTGCTGAGCACAAGAGAATCCACACTGGAGAAAGACCCTATGAGTGTAATGAATGTGGGAAAGCCTTCAAGTTGAAGAATACACTTGTTAGCCACCGAAATGTCCACACTAGAGCAAAGCCTTTTCAGTGCAGTGAATGTGGGAAGCCCTACAGTAACAAAACAAGTCTTGTTGTCCACCAGAGAATCCACACTGGAGTAAAGCCTTTTCAGTGCAATGAATGTGGGAAGCCTTACAGTTACAGAACAAGTCTTATTGTCCACCAGAGAATCCACACTGGAGAAAGGCCTTATGAGTGTAGTTCTTTGTATGTAGCTCCAAGCTCATAAAAAAGAGGAAAGTTCACACTGGAGAAATGTCTTCTGGACTTATGTGTTCCTTCACTTGAGTTAATATCTAGCACCACAACTCCTGTGTTGTAGAGTAGGTGAACGTTTAACTTATGTGGGGTCAGTCAAACTTTTTTGTGTGTGTGTGGTACACGGCCCTCTCACTGTTGTGGCCTCTCCCGTTGCGGAGCACAGACTCCGGATTCTCAGGCTCAGTGGCCATGGCACACGGGCCCAGCCACTAAGCGGCATGTGGGATCCTCCTGTACAGGGGCACGAACCCGTGTCTCCTGCATCGGCAGGCAGACTCCCAACCACTGCGCCACCAGGGAAGCCCCAGTCAAACTTTTTAAAGTGGTAGTATCCTTTTACAGTCTTGCCAGAAACACCAGAACCCAAGTTCCCATTCTTTCCATTCTTACCAACACTTGGTATGTGCAGGGTTTCTAATTTTTGTGACATCGTAGGTGTATAGTGGTATCAAGTGATTTTAATTTGCATTTCCCTAATGACATGATGCTGAGTGGTCTTCCATGTGTTAATTTCCAGCCATATATTGTTATTGAAATTTCTATTCATTTGATTTGTTGTTCTAATTACTGAGTTTTGACATTTCTTCATGAATTATTGATTAAGGTCCTCTAATGGAAATACTTAGCAATACTTTCTTCCAGAATTGGTCTTGTCTTTTCAATTACTTTTCCAGAGAAAAAGTTCTTAATTTTAGTGTAGTCTAATTTGTCCATTCTTATACTTTTTCCCGCTTCCTCCTGTAACTTTTATGGTTTAGGGTTTTTATTGATGCAAAGGAATCATTTTCAATTAATTGTGGGAGTTATTTTTTAAAATATAGACACCCAATTGCTGCAGTGATACTGATTTAAAAGATGATACCTTTTCCGCTGAATTGCTTTAGTATCTTCATCAAAGGTCAATCATTTTTGTATATGTTTATTTCTGGAATTTCTATTCTGTTGCATTTATCTACTTTATTTATGCCAGTATTTTCATGTATTAACTAATTTGTTTTTATAGTATGTCTTGAAATCAAGGTTGTATACTCCTTTGACTTTCTTTTTTTCAGTCATTATAGCCTTTCTTGGTTCTTTGCTTTTCCATATGAAGTTTAGAATTCACTTTTCAGCTTATACAGCACAAAAAGTCCTACTAGGAGTTTCACTGGGCTTGCATTTAGTCTTCAATTTATTTTTATTTTTATTTTTTGGCTGTTCCGTGCAGCTTATGGGATCTTAGTTGCCTGATCAGCAATTGAACCCAGGCCAGGGCAGTGAAAGCGCCGAGTCCTAACCACTGGACCTCCAGGGAATTCTCCTAATCTTTAATTTAGAAAGAAATACTGAGTGTCCCAATCCATAAACATGATACATCTCCTTTTATGTAGATCTTATTTAATTTTGGATGGAAATGTTTTTAGACTTCTTTTTATAGGTCTTGCATATGTATTTTCTAAATCTAATAATATTGTGAATGAGAATTTAAAAATTTTTCTTTGTGAAATGTTCAGTGCTAGTACACTAAGAGAGATATCAAACTATGGATAGAAGTGAGCCTTCTTAATCCTACAACATCTAGAAAGAGTTATTAGAAATACTATACCTTTGAACCATTATTAAACTATTGCCATTAGAATAAAAGGAGGGCAGCTGCTCATTGTTCTCTTATTCAGTATCATCCTGGAGTTCCAATTTCATTCAATACGAAAAAAAAAACCCAGCAAAATAATGAATATGTAGCAATTGGAAAGGAAGAAACCACCTAAAATATATCCTCAGTTTTCATCTTCACTATGAATCCAAATATGGACACTCATTTTAGTGCCTCAACCCATCGTAAACTCATAATTGTTTCATCACCCATTCGCTGGCCTTCTTACTTCCTTAGGACCCATCACCTTCTATTACGCTATGCAACTTAATATCATAGAAGAACTGCTTATTTTATTTTTCTATCAAATACAGAGTAAGTTCCAGTAGGAAAATATGTATTTACATGTTGTGCACTGATACATTCTGTATTCCTAGAAACATGTCTGAAACACATATGGTACTTTTTTATTTTTGGCCTTACTGCGTGGCATGTGGGGTCTTAGTTCCTGGACCAGGGATCAAATCCTTGCCCCCTGAAATGGAAGTGCAGAGTGTTAACCACTAGAACGCCGGGCAAGTCCCCCATGTGGTACCTACTGACATGTTAAAATATGGAACAAAATGATAATGCACATTTAACATTCATTTGCACAACTGTGGGTGTACTTTCTAACTCTCCTCACCCTGCTTTTTCCTTCAGTTTTACTACCATGAATGCTCTGAGTTATAGGAAGAAATTATGTTTTGTGAAAAGCCTTTAAATCTACTAAAAAATCCCCAGTAGACATTTTAGTGGTTTCCTTCTCTCACTTATTAGATGTCAGGTGTGTGTGTGTGTTTTTTTTCCCTCAGATTCCAGTGGGATTTTGATTATTTCAAAAACCAGTTTTCCACCATCAATTTCTGCCAGTCCTCATGGATATCTATCTCATTAAGCACTTTTATTTTTTTTTAGTTTATTTATTTCTTTTTGGCTGCTTTGGGTCTTCGTTGCTGTGCGTGAGCTTTCTCTAGTTGTAGCTAGTGGGAGCTACTCTTTGTTGCAGTGTGCAGGCTTCTCTTTGGGATGGCTTCTCTTGTTGTGGAGCAAGGGCTCTAGGTGCATGGGCTTCAGTAGTTGTAGCGCATGGGCTTAGTTGCTCCGTGGCATGTGGGATCTTCCCAGACCAGGGCTCAAACCCATGTCACCTGCATTGGCAGGCCGATTCTTAACCACTGCGCCACCAGGGAAACCCTAAGTACTTTTAATAGCTCTGGATAATTACACAGTCTGAAATGTTTTTCTGAGTTTGTCTCCTCTCCATATGCAGACACTGTCAGTGCACTTACAGGTGACGTAATCACTTCCAAGGAGCAGATGACATTGTGGGGTTCTAAACCTTTATCTCAGGCTTACGTATCCCCATTGCACACTCAGATGCTGCCATGGCATCCTTGTTATGGGAGCAAATACACATTTGGTAAGTATCTCTTCAGGTATCTGATTCTTAGAAAATATTTTTATCAGAAAACTGGAAATTAACTCTAAAATAAATTTCACTTCCTGAGGTCAGGACAATAAAAAAGGAACAACCTTATATAGGTTATATATATAGACATAAGACATAAGAACAAAGCCATAAAAACAGGAAAGGCATTTGCTGAGGAAACCAGAGGCATGTTGCCCCTCATCAACGTGCATCAGGAGTGCCTGACAGTTCCCTTCTCTCCTCAGTTGCATTGTTTTGAAACTTGTTTCACTGGCTTCTCACTAAACACACTGATCATAAACAGGGTTCACTGTAGAGGCTTCATGATAAGGTAGGTTGTGAGTAATAAGATGAAGAAGATGAGCTCCTACTCTGAGTAGATGCCTAGTGTCTGTCGTATCTGCTGATGAGGGGCATGTTGTGTCATGGAGACTTGAATGATGTGTCTCTAAATTTTTATCCTTGGTGAAAGGCTGTTCATTGCATCTCAAGTACTTGGATGTTCTCTTTATCATAGTAATCAACACTCTACCCTCTCAGGGCCTTGGCTTCCATTCCTCACCTATAAAAATGGATCCATTCTTCTGTCATCTGTATGTCTATCATCCACCTATATGTCTACCATCTATATATCTATCTCTATCATCTTTGCCTTATTGTGATTTCATCTCAATGACATGTCCCATTTATAAGATAATTTTCTTAAACAGAAAATAAAAATTTGGACCAGACATCCTCTTAGAAGAATGGAGTCACCCTGCGCTCAATGAGAACAGGGCATTTAATTTAGACCCTTCCTGTGTCTCTGCAGAACCTCTATGATCAGGGGAAGTTGTCAATCATTACTACCTGTGACTCACTGGAGGTCATTAAGAGTGGACTGATCCACAACCTAAGCAATGTCATGGTTGTTAGACTCAGATTTATGCACACTCCCAAATTCCCACGGGAAATTCTACTGGCATAAGTTTTTGTTATTTAACTTCATCTTGTGATTCTTATCAAGATTTCTGGTTCTTTGTTTTGTCCCTTATTTTGCTTCATTTTCTAGTTTTGTAACCTCTTTTCATCACACTGGTGATATTTTTTACTTCAACCTTAAATAGTATTATAAAAATAATGTTTACTATGAATATTTTGAATGAACCCACTGGTGTATAAAGTTAAACTGAATAATGACATTGATACACTACAGTCCTCCTCCCTTACAAAGTCTGCATCCCAGGGAAGCAACACTTCACAATTGGTGAGGATCTCTCCAGACAGAAGTGACAACTTCATAGAAATATTTGATAAGATCTCAGAGAACATCCCCTAACCACTGGACCACCAGGGAATTCCCTCCCTTGGATTTTTTAATTGAAGTATTTATTGTGAAAATCAGTGATTCACATGTAAGGGTAAGAATGCAGAGAGGGAGTTCCCTGGTGGTCTAGTGGTTAGGATTTGGTGCTTTCACTGCCGTGACCCAGGTTCAATCCCGGGTTGGGGAACTGAGATCCTGCACACCTTGTGGCACAGAAAGGAGAGGACAAAGAAAGGGAAAGGGAAGGTAAGGAATCAGAGAGACCCTGTGTGTACTTTACCCAGTTTCCCCAATAGTAAGACTATATTATATCACAACAATGATGTTGACGTTGATACTATCACCTGATCTTATTCAGATTCCTCTAGTTGTACTCAGGTGTGTGGTTTTATCCCTCTTTTTTTTTTTAAGTTTTATTTTATATTGGGGTATAGTTGATATCCCTCTGGGTTAAGCCACTTTCTTTATCCTGGATATACCATCAAGGCAACACACAATCTCTCTCAATTTTTCTTCCATTTTACTTTTGATGTTATGGATTTTTAAATTCCATTTCGATTGAGCATTGTTTGTTTAAACTTTATGGGAAATACTTAAATTTGTACAAACTCAAAAGTACAACACAAGGAAATTTCATCACTTTTGTTCCTGTCCTTCCAATCTGTTAAATCTCTGTCCCTATATTTATACTCTTCTACTTGACTCAAAAAACATGGTATATATACACTGTTATACACTGTTCTGGACCATAGGTTTTCATTTAAGAATACATCCTGGTAAGGGAACTCTTGACACTGTTGGTGAGAATGTAAATTGTTGCAGTCACTGTGGGAAATAGTATGATGGCTTCTCAAAAAAACTAAACATAGAACTACCATATGATCCAGCAATTCTACTCCTGGGTATATATCTGAAAAAAACCAAAAACACTAATTCAGAAAGATACATGCACCCCAATATTCATAGCAGCATTATTTACAATTACCAAGATATGGAAGCCATCTAAGTGTCCATCAAGAGATGAATGGGTAAAGATGTGGGGTGTGTGTGTGTGTATATATACACACACACACACAATGGAATACTACTCAGCCATAAAAATGAATGAACATTTACCATTTGCATCAAGACGGATGGACTTGGAGAACATTATGCTAAGTGAAATAAGACAAAGACAAATACTGTATGATATCACTCATATATTGACTATAAAAAATAAACTAGTGAATAAGACAAAAAACAGTCTTACAGATAAAGAGAACAAACTAATGGTTACTGGAAGGAAGAGGGTGGGGCAAAATAGGGATGGGGGATTAAGAGGTACAAACTACTATGTATAAAGTAAATAAGCTACAAGGATATATTGTACGAGAGAATATAGCCAATATTTTATAATAACTATAAATGGAGTATAACCTTTAAAAATTGTGAATCACTATGTTGTACACCTGAAACATATAATATTGTACATTCTCTCTCTCTCTCTCTATATATATATATATGTATGTGTGTATATATATATATATGTGTGTGTGTATATATATATATATATATATATATATATATATATATGTATGTATATATCCTGGAGAAAACTTCACAGAGTCAGTTCTACAGCAATGCATTGTATGTGTTCCTGAAAACCACCAAGTTATGCAAAATCCAACAGAAAATCACAAGGCCTATTGAGACCCTTGAAATACCTTCAGTAAAACAAAAAATAAAATGGAAGTCTAATATATGTGGTACTACAGTTTGACACGTTAAAAGTTTGAGAAACAAACAAAAAAAATACTGTAACAAATATGGTCCTTGACCTTCATTCTATCGTTGGCACACGTGTAATTACAAACACTGGGCCCTGTAATAATTTATTTAAATAGTCCCCATCATTTCTGTTTAGTCAGTCTCTGTCTTCCCTGTAACATTTTATGGGGCATATTCTATCCTAAGCATAAATATGTCACTTCAAACTTTGAAATTAACTACCCTCAGGTATCTCCATATTCTGGTGTACATGGCCACAGCAAGAATTTCTGTGCTGTCTTGGTTTTCAGACTTACAGCTGTTGTCCAGGGGTTCCATCCTCAGCCAGACTTACAGCTGCTGTCCAGGGGTTCCATCCTCAGCAGAGGAGTCGGGTAATGCCCTTCAGTCAGCCCTGCACCTCCTCTTCCCTGTACTGCAAAAAGTGAAATCTTTTTTGGCAAGGCTGAAAGGGCCTTAAATATTGCATGGGAGACACTTTCTATGTTCCAGAAATGGTTTAGGAAATCTGGAAGGAACTCGAATTCAGAAACTAGACACTTTCAGGTCTGTACAATTAATGGGCACCAATCTAACTGCTA